GAACAGAGAAGACGACCTGGATTGGAGTAGGAATAGAATTGGGAAATGGAAGGGAGGGAAGTAGTTGTGAATGTGATGTCACATTCCATAGTTAACAAGTTCCTGGGAAAATATGTGATCTGGATATAGGAGGAACATAGCTGCAGTGACAAAGGATACATGAAATATCAAGGGCAAAAAAACATCTGACCTAGACAACCACAAGCAAAAAAGGACAAAAGAATGATACACTAAATAGGTAATCAAGGGTTGAAAAGGTAGTTGGATAAGGGCTTGGAAAACTACTTGAAGGTCCCAAACAGGAAAAGGCATAGGACAAGATGGATGAAGAAGATGAAAGGAGCAAAACAAGAGGGAGAGGACAGAACAGAAAACACTCTATGTAAAAGGGGAAATAGAAGGTATTTGACTGCCAGATAATCAGAAATGGTAGCCACAGAAGGACCACTGTGAAACAGCCAAGTAAAGTTGTCAAAGACATGAGGCACATTAGGACAGGAAGGGAGGTAACCATTGTGTAGAGACTGATGGTGACAAACGTGTCATTTACTCTGATACATCAATAAGGATGAAGGACAGACTGAATGGGAAAGAAGGGATGCTACACATGTGGAGAGTCCAGATTGCCTCACAAGGGTCCAGACAAATATTAAGCATGAAGCTGGAGAGTGGTAATGGTGGGATGATACACAAATGATTGAGATTGTCAAAACAGGGAGCAGGAGAAAGGAAGTGGTAATTGAGAAGAAGACTAAAATAGGATAAGGACAGAAAATGGAGGTTAAGCAGGCCAGAAAGGTGCAATGAGAAAGGCTAGGCATAGAAAAGTATGGGAAATAGATAAAACTTGAAGAATGACAGGCATAAAAGTAGAGGATGTACCAATCCTGACTGAAGGAATCTACTGTCAAAGCTAAATAATGTAAAACTAGGGACTTAAAACGGATTGACTTGGAAGTGAGATGAATGGCTAATGTTTCCAGAAATGGTGTAACCCACTGAGAGCATGACCATTGAAACACCTAAGGAACAAGAGACCACTTTGTCGGAATCAGACAATTGATCCAGGACAAGCTTCAGAGCACCCATAACATGACCCATTACTAGATGTGTAAGATGTGAATGGGCCCAGAACAGGAGTTTGAACATTTGAAAACAAAGCAAACTGAGTCCAGGTGATCTTGAGCACGACATAGGGAATGGTGACTTCCATGGAAGCCCAAGTTCCCAAAGGAGAAAGAACCTCGCACATAGTAAGAGAAGGAGGGGATTGAGAGTTGAGAACCAAGAGCTCCATTGAACTCAACTTAAGGGGAGAAGTCCGGGCCCAACTGAGATAGGAGTTGAAAAACTCTTTCAAGTGGATAATGTAGCATCCTGGAGCAGAATATTCCAAAATACTTTGGAGAGATGCTGGCAAAAAAACTGGTTCCAGAAGAGGAGGGAAAGGAATTGAAAATAAGTATCAGGGCAGTGGAATGATAAAACAAATGGAATATCTTTTGAAAAACCCATGAAGTATCTAAGGGACCAAGGTGAAATTGCACCATAGGTGCATAAACCTGGCCAAACATGCTCTGAATTACCGGAACCTACAGTATGGTTACCAGTATCATTGGTAGCAGAGAACCCAGAGATGAGTAATTTGACAAAAAGCCCCCAAGACCCGAGAGAAGGGGACAGAAAGAGGGATAAAATGGTGGGGAAGGAATGGGAGCAGGTGAAGGCCATGGAATACAAGAGATTAAGGAGGAGAAAGAATGCTGATGAGCAGCCCTCACCCTGGACTACAAGGAGTTGGGAAAATCTCCAAAAACCATTCTCCAAAAAATAAAGCCATATGAAGGACCCTGAAATAAGACGTGGGAAGGCACGAATTACCTAAAAGTACATGCTCACCCAGGATGTCCAGATAAACAAGCAAACCAATGTGGAATATACGAGGGAGTGGGTATCCTCCAACTACCCCTCATGAGAATGGGGTATAGCTACAAATATGAGGTGGATAGAGGAGAGGTAATGCAGAAGGTTGGTTAGGATCACATGAAGATAGAAAATTATGGCCTGGGAAATATTTCACAGTGATATCAAGGACAGATCCCCATAGCAGAATCAAAAACTCCAAGGCCAGAGAGTCCATAAATGGAAAATCCAAATGGTACACTAATTTGTAAATATCAGAGGGATGAGGCATGCTGACCTTAAAACATAATAGTGCAATAAATAGGTCTGCTTGTACCCTGACCTCAGAAGAAGGGGAAAAAACTAGTTAATCTGAGGAAAGAGCAGAATTATTAGACACAGGAGATATAGACAAAAGGTAACATACCTGTAACACTATATCTAGGAAGGCTGAAAATAGTCTGGGAGTATCCACAGTAGAAATCTGGGATTACATGGCAAAGGAAAGAGGAGGAGGAAACAATCTCAAAATCAGTAGCTTTCTGTAGAAGTTCTCCAGAAAAAGGAAAATCTAGTCTGTGATCAGGAAACACAGCAAACCACATAATGGACCCGAACTCATGACATCCTAAAATCCAATATCTCATCAGTAGTAGTTGTTATGAATTGAAATTAGGAAATTAAAATTCAACTGAAAGTGAACAATGGAACATCAACCAACAGTATCTAGTTTCAATATAGAAACAAATAAAATTGCTAAGAAAACCTAGAAATAACTAAGAAAGTTGTTTAACAAATTAAACTGTTAATGCAAAATACTAAGCAAACACAAGCAAAATTTGTAAATGCCTGCACTCTACTGTGCCAAATTAAGAAGTGAAGATTGAGTTCTACAGTATAGAAAGAGCCAGCTGCAACAGTTGAATGTATCATGCTCCTATTTATGGAGGGTTGTTGCATGATTATTTGCATGCTACAATGCAACTGCACCACGTTAAACACATGGAGTAGGTGGGATTATCAAGTCTGGTTGCAAGCAAAAAATGTGTGCATATAGGAGGCAGCACTGAACGAGAAAAGCTAAGGTATCATAAGTTAGGGGAAGGCTTAATATATATTTAAATGATAAAGGCTGGCTCTGAGATGTTTTATTATTATTAATGAATGAGATGGCTTACAAACAAATCTCTTATTGTCCTCAAATTTTTTTATATTATACAATGGTAAGACTTTCACGCTTGCCACTGCAGTTACATTCTTGTGATTTATTTGAAAATACTTAAAAAATTATCATAACCTCAAGAAGTTTTTATACTATGAATATACAGAATTATGTAACTGAAATAAAAACAGCTTAAAAACACACACACATAAATCATTAAAAAAAGTACTGTCACAAATACACACGTAAGCCTAGGTTCCTTTTGCATAAACAATATATCCATTAACAATTTCAGATTTTTGACAGAACAAAACTTCTGCCAGTTTCAACTACTGCTCATTGCAATTCATTTCATAAACTAATCACCTTTACTGGAATCTAACCTGTGTTTTCCAAACTTAAAGCTTGTGCGAAGAAACCAGAGGCCCTTATCTCTTGATAAGGTAAATTTTAAAAACAGTCACCTTTTATCTACCTTGCTTAAGAGAAAATAAGCTAAAAGATCTTAAATTATTCCTATAACACAATTCTTCCATCCCTGAATCATCCTCATAGCCTTTCTCTTAATCCTTTCTCACAAGTTAATATCCTTTCCTAGATACCAAAACTGTAAACACTATTCCAAGTGAGGCCTAATTAGTGATTTGTATAAATAGATAATTAGCACTTATGACTTGTAATAAATGCCTATAAATAAATCCTAAAATTCTTTTAGCTTCATTACTAGCAACAAAGCATTGGCTTGATGGTTTGAGCGATCTATCTAGCAGTGGTCCTGCTATGTCAATATTATTTTATTCATTCACATTATGAGTGGGTTCCCATCTATATAAAACTATTTGTACAGCTTAAACAATGATCCAATTCATTTTGCAGTATCCCAACATTCCCAAAACAATTAGAAATACTATACTGTTGAATGTCATCAGAAAATCATTTACATTTATGAAACAGTACTAATTTAGTACTTATGTTTCTATATTTAATGGATGGGATAACTTGATGAACCAACAGGCCTTCTATTGGTCTTAAATGTTACATTAGTCTAACTAAGAAAAAACAAAGGCCCAAGCATTGACTCTTGCAAGTATTAAATTAGCACAGTTCACTAGTAGTACTAACAATCATTGTGTAGTAATAATTTTATCAACTATTAAAATTCCATATTAATTTAAAATCTTGGAAAAGTGAATTTTTTTTTAAAAATTATTAAAATGAAAACAAGTGATTTCCATCAATAAATATACTTTTATTTTATTCACTTTCAAAATTATACAGTCAAATAGGGACAGGCTTTTAAATTATCTAACATAAACACTAAAACAGTGTAATTTATAATGATGGCCTATACTATTTATTAATGACTAATTCACTGACAGTACACAATCATAACCTTTTACTTCAGTTCTTGACTTTGGTACCATACCTGAGGTCTGGAACTTCACTTTAAGTTTTTTAGTGTTGATATTCTCAGTGATAACAGATAAGTTATGAATACCTCATATATATTATAACTATAACGCTTAACACTAACAGTACTATAATTTAAAAACCCGAAACATACATAAAACTCAAAAACTACAACCATGCAATTTACAAATCATATTATAATATAATTTGTATCAGCCTCTAAAAATGTTCAAGCATAGCACATTTAAAACCATATTTCTGTATATATAAAACAATTGTCTATGATTAGATGTATATAATAAAATTAAAATAGTAATATAATACACGTAATTACAAACATATTCATGATAATGTTATTGTTGACATTGTTAGTTGTATTATAGTACAAGCCCCGTAGCGGTATGTCTGCGGACTTACAATGCTAGAAACTGGGTTTCGATACCAGTGATGGGCAGCGCACAAATAGCCCATGGTGTATCTTTGTGCTTAATTACAACTGCAGTACAAATACTAAATAGCACGCTACCTTTTGAAGTCTTCTTGTTGCTGCCATCTTTGCACTCAAATATGCAGCAAAACGCGATGACCCCAGGTGAGTATTTGTAGAAACTATTACAAACGTAAAATCCCTCAATAAAGGACATTGTATGTTAATTAAAGTGTTAATATAAAAAAAAACAGTAATGATAATATAAGTATAAGTAATTAACCATTATATAGTATTGCTTAAGTACTATGATTTATTTGTTCGTTCTTCACAATTTCTAATATCATATGCTGAACTTATATTATATTTGATTTTGAATACCATATTCACCAACAATTCAGTAGTCTCGTACCTGGGTCTTAACTTCTTGGGTCATCACTAAGGGAAATGCAGTAAATTAGGCTTAAAACTAACGTTAAATGACAGCATAACTTTTGTACAGGTATTAAAATTAAACGCAATTTGTCAAGGTAAATTAAACGTTTGATTGAAATTATATAATCTACATATAAAGTTAAATACGTATGTTTAAGGAAATTATTTTTTTAGTAGGAGAATATATTAAATTATTAAATATACAAAGCGTATATTAATGGCAGGATTTTCAGATGACTTGGATTTCAACCCATTTTACAGGGCACTTCAGGTAAGTAACGTAAGCCTAAAGTTAAGTATATTAAAGTGTCAGAAACAAAAAAACAACAGTAAAATGTGAAAGTTAACACTTCAAATTTGTTTTGACTTGTTAAATCGACAAGGTATGGCTTTTAGTCAAATCAAGTGTCTTATAAAGTCAATTAAATAAAGTACATTCCTTGTCTATTGCCCGACTATTGTGCTATGGGCAATTAAATTTAAACTAAAGCAAAGGCTGAAGTTCGAAAGATAGTGAACTTTATAATTTTTACTAAAAATTATCTAGCTAACTATCTTTCGAACTTTAGCCTTAAGAACTTTAAATTATTGTTATTATTATTGACGTTTTTAAAAATTCTTTTTTAATATTATTAATATCATGCTAATTTTCAAATAATCATAATATTAATTTGCAACTTATTCAGTGTAGTACGTGTTTGAATGTTGCTTTAGTCTTTAGATATATTGTATGATTCTCATTTTGAATGTTTTACATTTGGTAGCCTTTATGGTATCAAACATTTTGTCCTACTAAAGAGTGAAGTTCAAAATCACCAGAAGGGCATTTTGAACATTTTAAATATCTATTTATTATTTAGCATTTGTTTATGGTATAAGTTTTTGAATTTTGATTTCTACCATATTATTAATATAGCATAACCTTAACTATACACTGAGAGTTTTATTTATTAGAGAATGTTATGGTTAGTGTTACTTCACTTAGGCCATTACGACTAGTTGCCAAAGTATTTCCATTTTTTGTATTGAATCATGTTAATTGGTCATTGTATAAGCTGTATGAAAAGCACTCATGCAATTACAAGACAGAAAAAAAAATTGTATCTTATCTATACAAGTTGCAGAAATGTAACTTAAGATTAAAGCAAAACTACATTGGTTGTAATTTTTACTGATGGATAGAATATATTGAATTTGAGGAATGTGTAATTTCTAAAAGAAATTTGCTTATATAAAGAAGATGATTAAACAAATTTTTAAGTATTAAAGTACAGATATCAATAAAGCCATTAAGACTCGAAACAAGACTGATTAAAAGTTCAAAAATTAGATTATGAGTATGAATGATAGTCTATTGAAATGAATATATTATGGTGTGTAGTACAACAAACAGATTGAGTGTGAATTAGTTGAATTATTTTATAGTATAAGTTTTCAAATCATATTTTACAATTTCTACTAGGAACTCGCCCTCGTTTTCAGAAATATAAAGTAAAAACAAACATAAATAACTGCTGTATTCTTAGTTTTCATGTTTATTTATAGACAAACTTTGGAAGATTGTTTGAAGAGGCACAGAACCACTGTTGGCTTATTTGTGTTCCACAGTCAAATTCTGTAAAAGGATTAAAGTTTTCATCCAATTTTGTTGGTAAGTTAAAGTTTTAATCCTCTCCTTCAAAGTACAATGTTAAAATACTTGGTGTATTCATGTCATCTTTTAGATTTTGTTCCATTTTGGAGACCTATTAAGATGTAAAAAAAAAGGGGGGGAGGAGTTTCAATTTTTGTGGGAGGATTTAGAATCATAGAGGCCTAGATACAAAATAGAAAGAATATCAGAATAATAAAACATCTTATGTTCTGCAATCAGATTAAATTTTTGAGATTGGATTCATAATAGTACTTTAACAAAACTAACTTTTGAACCTAACCTTTAGGCATTATATCTGAAATTGGAATGTGTCATTAAAGAATAAATTGAAGTCAATTATTACCAGCGTTTACAATAAATAATACTGAACATGTCAAGTTTGATGTTATATTATTATGTTATAACACCCTTTGAAGACCTCAAAAACATGCACATGCTTTGTTTACAAATAATTGCAGGCAACCATACAACTTAGTGAAACTAGAAAATATTAACATTATAAAAGAATAAGAAAAATCTGTGGAGTGTTAGTTGGACCGTATGGTGGCCAGGTTAGAAAAAGCAAAACTGTTCTTATTAATGGAGTCTAGTCAAAATGACCCATGTTACTAATGGTGTGCCTCATTTTAATAATTAACTTTCAAGGTGATTGTATGAACAGCATGTTTATCAATGAAAATTGTTTGTTTTTCCTATAAGAGTTCTTTCAAACTTCAATTTTCTGAAAGTTTAATTTAATGTTAAATTTTAGTGTTTAATAAAATCATTTAATAGCCCTACAGTTAGTGACAGATGCTGCTGTTCAGTAGTTCTACTTCAGATACGTATCATCTGAACTCACAAGTCTGTTGTGCTTCAGGTACATGACATGATAGCTAGTACTATTCTGTTGAAACTTTAACTTGTTTCAGTTATTAATTTCTCAGCACCTATGTTCCTACACTTTCTTCCAGCCTGTACTGTAAAATGTAAACATTAATTTTAGTAATATGTTCTTTTTATATTTTCATTTATATGAACAACTTCTCACTGAAAAGAGTGTGCCATTTTTTATACTTATAAAGCATTAACTGTTTTTTTTTTTCTCGTGCTAAATCATCTTTAACTGATTTTTAATATATCTTAGAAAACTTTGATTTACACCTTATGAATCATTTTAATCTCTTTATAGAGGGCATCTAGTACAGCATTTCTTAATTTTTTTGATACCAGGGACCACTAAAATGCATATACAATGAAAAATCATTACGATTTACGTATGAATATTTTGTCAGATTTCTTTTTATTTCATGTAACCCTACAGACCATGAAGGTGGACCAGTAGTTGAGAAACACTGATCTTGTATAATCATAAATTTTTCTTGACAAATAATAAGTGTTTTACTTTCTTTTTTTCTAGGATCGAAGTTTATCATATTCTGTGACAAGATTCTTTTCTGATACAGTACATTACCTCTTCTCACAGATATAGCTATTCTCATTCAGTGCTGCCCTCTATATGCAAAAATATTTTTGCATGCCACAAGCCTTGAGCTCCCATGTACTCCACGATCAAACTGGTTCAACTGCATCTTGCATGTAAATTATCATGCTACAGCCCCCCACCAATAGGATTGCAACACGCCCTCCTGACTCCCTCTATAGGAATCTACCGAACTATCACTGCTCGTTTTCCAGTGCTCGTGTCAAGACATTTTTCATTGTGCTCTTCAGTTGTGTGGTTTTTGTTTTTAAAGTTGGTGAATTTTTTTGAAATTTTCTTTTAATTGTTTTGTAATTTATTCCAAAGTGGAATTGTTATTCTCATTTTTCAAAAGTTTCCTCCTGAACATGCCGAACATGTTTGTGAGGACAAAGAATTTGACATATTTTCTCCTTCAGCTGGTTTTGCTATGTCTTCCTATGCCCCTACAGTGTAATAAAATATGTCTAATAGCGATTCGTTGACATGATTTCTCAAGTGTGTTCTGTTTTATCCATTTCCATGATTTCTTATAATCCTCTTCCTCCCTTGTTACATGATACTCTCTCCTCTTAGTATTTTGTGTTTTCCCCTTCCCTGAATATTAGGGTTCATGCAGAACATTTTGTATCTCCGATGCATGAGGGTGCTAGCATGCTTCACCTTCCATGCTCTTCGTGTCATCTTGTTTTAGCCTGCCATCAGGCTGTATTTCCACTTCTTGATTCTCACCAGTTGGAATCGATTTTTGTCTGTGTATGGGCAGACCCTGATCATCCTGCTCTTTATCCTGTGCACAGATTTTTCACCTTTGTTTCACCCTATCAACTTTCCCATGGTGCTTATCCACTATCCACCTCCCTTCCGAGGCATTTCACCAAAATTCTGGGGGTTTATCGAGGGATACCCTCTTCCTGATTAACTCCACATTGGCACATTTGTCTTCTTGGGCTCTTTCCTCAAACATATTGTTTCTCTGTTGTTGTTATCTTCCAGGGAGAGATGCTGTATTGTCTCAGGTTTGTTTACCACCTACTTATCTTTGTAACTTACGTATGGCCCCTTTTCTCCACCGGTCTGTTTTTGGAGATATTCCTGAGACTTTAGAATTCTGTGTTGAATCAGTGAGACAACAATTGGCCCTTTCATCTTTGTTTGATTGTCTCATTCAGTGCCTTGATAATCCCCTAGTACTGTTTCCCGTCCCACTCCTTCCCAGCTCTTACCAGATCCTGCCTCTTGGGGTTCCTTCACTCATCATATTATTTGATGCAGATGGACATGTCACCAACAGTATAGGTGACTGCCTGGTTGGTTCTGGTCAACTGAGAGCTTGCTTGACCGATTTTGTTCCTCTATGGTTAGATTTTGCCATAGATTGTTGGATTTTTTGGGTATTAAATGAAGGACTTGTCATCCTTTCCTTCTCTTCTTTTATCTCAGGTACCCAAATTCTTTCCATTGCTTTGAGATCCTACCCCAGTCAACATCTGTCCGAGGTAGTACATATTCTTCTCAACCATTAATCCATCGAACCTGTACCTCATCTTTCTCCAGATTTTTATTCCAGGCCATTTGTGGTACCTAAAAAAAATGGAGACTGACAGCCTATGATCGATCTGTTCCATCTCACACAATTTTTAGTTATGCCCCACTTTACCATGAAGTCTTTTCTCACCTTCAGGTGTACTTTTTCTCTAGGTCTGTGGATGACCAGGGTTAACATCTTGAATGCTTATCTGCATTTTACTAATCTCATCAGTCAAGGTGCTATTTTAGGTTTGTTCATCAAGGGGTAGTGTATCAAATACCTTTGGGCATGGCATGGGTCAATCAACAAGAAGCTTCAGGTCAGTGGTTTCCAACTGAGAGGATTTACCAAATCAATATATTGGTGCTTCTGGTTGTACATCATGCTTTGCATCATTTTCTTCATCTTGCCAGGAATTGTCTGGTCATGATCCATTCTGACAATTCTATGGTGGTAGCTTACATAAATCACCAAAGCAGTACCCATTCTCCTTCCCTTTGTGGTTGAATCTTGGATCTCCCTTTTTGGACCCACATGCTTGGTATTCATCTCCTTGCATGTCATGTTTCAGGTGCATTCAACCTTATTGTGGATCTTCTTTCCCAACCAGACAAAATTATCTGACTGAGTGGTCTCTCAATCCTCATTTTCCAGTGGGGTAGATATCACTTGGATGCATTTGCCACATCCCTCAATACCAAGTTACCTCTTTTGGTCTCCAGTTCCTTATCCACTTGCACTGGCTGTCGATGCATTCAGCTAGGATTTGACCAACAAATACCTTTATGTGTGTTCTCCCATCCACCTCCTTCCCAGGGTGATTTCAATCATCCATGCCACTCCCTGTAAAGTCCTTACTGGCCAGCACAGCTGTGGTTTCCATGGCTGTTTCAGCTCCAATCTGCCCCATCATTACTTCTTCCTGTTACCCTCGCCCTTCTACGTCAATCTCAGTCACTGGCATTTCATCCAGCACTTCCTACCTTCTGTCTCCACACCTGGTTTTTATCTGGTCCTTGGTGAGGAGATCTGGATTGTTATGGCAAGTCATTTCATTTTTAGCATGTTCCAATTGCCCTTTCTCTATGGACATTTATTAAAAAAGTGGAATGTTTTCTGATGTTGGTCTTTGAGTTGAAAGGTTTCACCAGCTCAACCCACTGTTCCTCTTCTTACGGATTTCCTCATTTGGCTGTTTGATCAGGGGTCTTCGATCTCCTCGATTTTTGGTTATTGGGCTGCCTTATCAAACACTTTTCATTTTTCCCAGTACCATAAACTTTTTACCACTCCTACCCTCTCCCTATTGTTGTATTCCTTCTGGATTAGTCAACCTCCTTTGAGCTCAATCCTTCTGTATTGGGATGTCAATGTGGTTCTTCACTGCCTTACTTTATTTCCATTTGAACCTATGTCCTTGTGTACAATTTTTCACTTATTCCTTAAGACTTATTTCTTTCTTCTCTTGGCCAGTGGGTGTCATTGGTCGAATTTGTTTGTCATCAACATTTCACGTACCCTGTATCTTTTAATATATGTTCCTCTTTATCTAAATTGATCTTTTCTTCCCAAAACTTTGGCTGCTTGTGAGGGTAATTCCTCCTTCTCACTGATTTCCCTTCCTTCCATTTCTGATCCTTAGAATTAATAAATCAGGAGTGGTCTGCTTTTCAAAATAGGGTTTTCATGATCCCCTGTTAATATTTCCCGGACTCTCCACTGTTCTCCCTTTTTCTTCCAATGGAATATGGAATTCCTTACCACTTTCCAGTTCCAAGCTGCTGGAGTGGTGGACCATGGAGGCATCCTGCTGAATATATGCAATGTAAATGATAATGAATCCATTCAGTTGAGAGTAGGGCGGTAGTGTTCTGCTGGAGTAGATGACAAGATGTCCTCGAGCCTGAAGCTTCATCTCTGAATGGGTTTATCCAAGAGGTTGTTGTAGCTTTGGAATGAACCATCAAAAATTGTATTTCATCCCTTCAATTTGGATCCCTCATC